AGGAAAGGAAAGGAAAGGAAAGGAAAGGAAAGGAAAGGAAAGGAAAGGAAAGGAAAGGAAAGGAAAGGAAAGGAAAGGAAAGGAAAAAGGAAAAGAGCCGGCCGGGCGTGGCTCAGCGGTTGAGCGTTGACCTAGGATCCAGGCGATCAGGGTTTGATTCCCGGTCAGGGCACATGCCCAGGTTGTGGGCTTGATCAATGACTGTCTCATCATTGATGTTTCTATCTCTCTCCCCCTCTCCTGTCCTCTCTCTGAAATCAATAAAGATATATTAAAAAAACAAAGGAAAGAAAGAAAGAGTGAGAGAGAGACATCGATGTGAGAGAGACACACAGATTGTTTGCCTCCCCCATGTACCCCAACTAGAGCTGGGAATCAAACCCACAACCCAGATACATGCCGCCAGAACCTTTGGTGTGCAGGCTGATGCTCTAACCACTGAGCAAAACCAGCCAGGGCTTTAATTTCTTTATTGATTGAATTTAGAGAGAGAGAGGGTAGGAGAGAGAGAGAGAAACATCAATTTTTTGTTCCACACTTCCATGCACATTGGTTTACCTTGGTATGTCCCCTACCAGGGATTGAACCCACAACTTTGGGGCACTGGGACAATGCTCCAATCCGGAGGATGCTCAAACCAACTGAGCTGCCCAGCAGGGCTAACCATTTTACTATTTATATACCTGAAGCATTTCATTAGCATGAACCAAAAGATTCAACACTCTGCTGAAGTGTATTAAAATAACTACGCATAAACAATCTCTAGGAAAAAAATAATTATATAATAAAAAATTCCCAATGATATATACCATCATATTTAAGAGTATGAAATGCATAATGTTTCTGCTACTATGCTACTCACTTGTCTTATATGGAAACTTTATTTATTTAAAATAAATTAGAAGAATTTTAGTTATAAAAAGAAAACTAATATATAGAATACTTGTAAGAAAATATAGAATTGTTTTTAAAAGTTTAACAACTAGAATTTGTCCAGTGAAGTACCACTCTAATGCTCATTACAGAAAGATTTTATTATAAGTACAAAACTAGTGGATTCCAAAGTAATGAGCTTGTACCACATAAACATGTGTAAGTAGGTCTGTAGAATATACTATCTGCTAAAAAGAAAACAAACAAAAACAAAACAAAACAAAACAAAACAGAAAAAGGGTTTAGTACAACTTACAGATATGGGCTTCTGGTCTCCAGCTGGTGGTCTCCATTCATTTCTATATATTATATCCTTCCTTGCAGTTTGCACTGATATTCTTGATCTTGGTAGGTACTTACCCTGGAATCTCATTTTCTGTATTTTAGAATCTTATTTAACCAAAATAAAACAACATCGATTTTTAAAAATTGTTACATGTTTAATACTAATACTTGCATGAGTATAATCAAATAGCACATTTCCTAGCACAGTAAGTTTACTTTACCCAGAGACATTTATTCCCAGTGAGAAAAGTACTGATGAAAAATTATTATGCATTTTCTTTGAATGGAGAAAACCATTTTTCCAGGATCTCTTTACATATTTCTAGTAATACATGATACTATTTTTTTTTAAAATTAAAAATTATTGTTAACATTACAGAAACAATATGCGTAAGGTAATGGCACAAGTAACTAAACACAATCATCACAGCTTGGATTACCAGGCCGCACCATTCATGTCACACTGTTGTTTGAAATATATGAGTAAGTTTTCTAATGTGTTTTCTTTGTCTCCATCAAAATTTGTTCTTGTTTTCCTCTTTCCTATATTAGACATGTGGACAATGCACTTTCTCTCATCCTGTACTTACCTACTTTCTAAACATTCTCAATCTAAACCAATACATAACATATAAAGGGGTTAATTCATTCATTCTCCCTTTATAACTTTCCTCAATTTTAATTTCTCTACCACAGTGGATAGTATTTCACTATCAATGATACCTTAGGGAGATTTTCTATTCCTCGTCCTTTAAGTTCAGACTTTTGGTATGCCTCAATCCTGCTTGTTTTACTTTCACAACATCAATTGAATTAGTAATTTTCCCTTCTTTAATCTCTCTCGCGCTCTCTCGCTCTCCCTCTCTCTCTCTCTCTCTCTCACACACACACACACACACACACACACACACACACAGCACTTCATCATGTCATCAGCTGATTCCTGACACTAATTTTTTTCCTACTTATCATTACCATGCTTTCTTCAGTGGTCACATAGTTGAGTTTCTCCAAGTTCCTAACTTCAGCTCCAATGGGTTGTTCCAAGAGAATTCTTTTTATTTATTTATTTATTTTTGTTTAAAATATTTGAGATGTCCCTTTTTCTCCCCAATGACCCATTCCATCCTGTCCCATCCCCTTCCCCAGTCCCTCTCCCAACCATTGTCCTTGTCCTTGGGTTGTGCATATATGCATATCAATTCTTTGGATAATCTCTCCCACCCGCCCACCTGCCCTCCTCCATCTCTCTGACATTCATCAGTCTGATCTATGCTTCCATGTCATTGAATCTATTCTGTTCATCAGTTTATTAAGTTCTTTAGATTCCACGTATAAGCAAGATCATGTGATGTTTGTCTTCCTCTGCCTGGCTTATTTCACTTAGCATAAGATTCTCCACCTCCTTCCATACTGTCCCAAATGGTACGAGATCCTTCTTTACAGCTGAATAGTATTCCATGGTGTAAATGTCCCACAGCTTTTTTATCCACCCGTCTACTGATGGGCACTTGGGCTGCTGTTTCCAGTTCTTAGCTATTGTAAACTGTGCTGCTATGAACATAGGGATGCATATATTTTTTCTGATTAGTGTTTCAGGATTCTTAGGATATATTCCTAAAAGTGGGATCACTGGGTCAAAAGGCAATTCGAATTTTATTTTTTTAAGAAACCTCCATACTGTTTTCCACAGTGTCTTCACCANTTGTAGTACAGTTGGATGTCTGGTAATGTGATCCCTCCCACTCTGTTCTTTTTTCTCAAGATGGCTGCAATTTGGTGTCTTTTTTGGTTCCATATAAATTTTCAAAATGTTTGTTCTCAGTCTGTGAAATATGCTGTTGGTATTTTAATAGGAATTGCCTTGAATTTATAAATTACTTTGGGTAGTATGGACATTCTAATGATATTAATTCTTCCAAACCATGAGCATGGTATATTCTTCCACTTGTTTATATCTTCGTCTATTTCTTTTTTCAGTGTCCTATAGTCTTCCTGAGTACAGGTCTTTTACATCCTTGGTTAAGTTTATTCCTAGNTTGGGTTGTCTTCCTCTTGCTGAGCAGTATGAGTTCTTTGTACACTTTGGAAAGTAGGCCTTTATCAGACACATCCTTGGCAAATATGTTTTCCCAGACCGTGGGGTTCCTTTGTATTTTGAGGCCATTTTCTTTTGCTGTGCAGAAGCTTTTTAGTTTGATATAGTCCCACATGTTTATTTTTTCTTTTGTTTCTCTTGCCCTAGGAGATGTATCAGTGAAAATTCCACTACCTGAGATTTCTGTGACTTTACTGCCTATGTTTTCTTCCAGGATCTTTATGGTTTTGTGACTTACATTGAAGTCTTTCATCCATTTTGAGTTTATTTTTGTGTATGGTGAAAGCTGGTGGTCTAGTTTCATTTTTTTGCATGTACCTGTCCAATTTTCCCAGCACCACTTATTGAAGAGACTGTCTTTACTCCACTGGATGCTCTTGCCTCCTTTGTCAAATATTAACTGACCAAAAAGGCATGGGTCTATTTCTGATGTCTCTGTTCTGTTCCATTGATCTATATGCCTGTTGTTGTACCAATACCAGGCCATTTTTATTACAATGGCTTTGTAGTACAGTTGGATGTCTGGTAATGTGATCCCTCCCACTCTGTTCTTTTTTCTCAAGATGGCTGCAATTTGGTGTCTTTTTTGGTTCCATATAAATTTTCAAAATGTTTGTTCTCAGTCTGTGAAATATGCTGTTGGTATTTTAATAGGAATTGCCTTGAATTTATAAATTACTTTGGGTAGTATGGACATTCTAATGATATTAATTCTTCCAAACCATGAGCATGGTATATTCTTCCACTTGTTTATATCTTCGTCTATTTCTTTTTTCAGTGTCCTATAGTCTTCCTGAGTACAGGTCTTTTACATCCTTGGTTAAGTTTATTCCTAGGTATCCTATTTTTTTAGTTGCAATGGTAAATGGTATTTTTTTAGTTTCTCTCTCTCTGAAAGTTCATTGTTGGTGTATAAGAATGCCATTGATTTCCTGATGTTGATTTTGTATCCAGCTACCTTGCCAAATTCATTTATCAAATCTAGTAGTACTTTAATGGAGTCTTTAGGGTTTTCTATGTACAATATCATGTTATCTGCAAATAATGACAGTTTTACTTCCTCCTGTCCTATTTGGATACCTTTTATGTTTTCTTCCTGTCTGATAGCTGTGGCAAGGACTTCCAGTACTATGTTGAATAAGAGTGGTGAACACTCTGTGGTGGACATCCCTGTCTTGTTCCTGTTTTTAAGGGAAATGGTTTTAGTTTTTGCCCATTGAGTATGATGTTGGCTGTAAGTCTCTTATATATGGCCTTTATTATGTTGAGGGATGATCCCTCTATTCCCACTTTGCTGAGAGTTTTTATCAGAAATAGGTGCTAGATTTTATCAAATGCTTTTTCTGCATCTATTGATATGATCATATGATTTTTGTCCTTCATTTTGTTTATGTGATGTATCACATTTATTGATTTGTGGATGTTGTACCAGCCTTGTATCCCAGGAATACATTCCACTTGGTCGTGGTGTATGATCTTTTTAATCAACTGCTGGATCTGGTTTGCTAGTATTTTAGTGAGGATTTTAACATCTATGTTCATCAGGGATATTCACCTGTAATTTTCTTTCTTTGTAGTATCTTTATCTGGTTTTGGGATTAGGATGATGCTGGCCTCATAAAAAGAGTTTGGGAGTTTTTCCTCCCCTTGAATTTTCTGGAATAGTTTGAATAGAATAGGTGTTAATTCTTCTTTGAATGTTTGCTAAAACTCGCCTGTAAATCCATCTGGTCCAGGACTTTTGTTTGCTGGGAGTTGTTTTTTTTTATTACTCCTTCAATTTCATTAGTTGTTATTGGCCTATTCAGGTTTTATGCCTCTTCTTGGTTCAGCTTTGGAAGGTTGTATGCTTCTAGGAATTTGTCCATTTCCCTCATGTTGTCCAATTTGTTGGCATATAGTTGCTCATAGTATTTTCTTACAGTCCTTTGTATTTCTGTTGGGTCGGTTGTTATATCACCCCTTTCATTTCTGATTTTATTTACTGCCCCTTTCATTTCTGATTTTATTTATTTGGGTCCTCTCTCTTTGTTTCTTAGTGAGTCTGGCTAAAGGTGCATCAATCTTATTTATCTTTTCATCCAAGAGAAGTCTTAATTGCCAGCCAATCCTCACTATTCCAAAAAATAAGCTTCATTTCCTCATCCCATGTCTGTCTGTGAATCCTCTCTTACTCTCTATACCTTCCTCACACAAAAGTTAAGTTTGGATTCTACCTCTTCATACAACTCTTCATTAGCAAATCCATTGCTTCATCAAGTTTTTCTGACTAATGAGAAGAGAGGAGATGATTCTTCCAGGTCATACATGAGCTAGATATATAGGCACATCCACTAGTCACCACTGGAAAAGATGATTATTTTCTCCTGCAAATATTGTTCATGTTTTTTTAAATATCCATGTTCAATATATTTGGTGAGATTTTCCCTGCTAATGTTGTCACCCATATATTATAACTCATTATGTGAGATACACGTAATAAGTATTTTTGATTGCATAGTTAAATCATTCTTACCTTGGACTATCTTCCCAGTAGACTGAGAAGCTGATGATCTTGCTCTACCTATTAGGGTGTGATTGAATTCTTCTTGAATAACCTAAAACCAAACACAAGTGTCAAGAGCCTGCTAACTGAAACCTCTGTCAAAATCCAGACAGAATCACCTCAGAACTCACCTCAGGGGTCAAGTATTTGGCAATAAGATTCTCTAAAAAGGGTCTTTTCAAAATTGAATTAATAGATGGCCGATCTCGGGGAGATACTTTAAAAAGCTGTGATATCAAGGACTGTAGGTCACAGGAAAACCTTGGAGATACTGGGGCAAAATGTGCCTGACAAATCTTCAGAACCAGTTGGTGTAAGTTGTTACCCTCAAACTGGAAGGACAAGGAATAATAACACTAAATTAGGAGACAATTCAATACTAGTATTTAAAGTAATATTAAGAAACAAAATAATGTTTAAAGTTCAGTTGGAAGTACCATGGTCCACCCTAAATTGTTTTCATCAACTAACATTTCATGAGGAGATATTGTAGGCAGTTATTCAATGAGATGTCATGTTATTTAAAACAATAATTTTTTTATTTTATTTTTTCTTATTATCAAAATAATATTTATGCATTCTAGAAAACTGGAAGGTACAGGAAATTTTAAATTGGTAGAAAAAATATGTATAATTTCACCACCCAGAGGTATATTTCCTCCTAGTCTTTTTCAAAATTAATGTTTATTTTATAGAGTTGAGGGCATAATGATATGAAATTTTACATCTTGCTTTTTAAATTAGCATAACACAAACACTTTCACAAAAATTCCTCATAAACCAGAAACACTTTAATAGTATAAAATCTTCAGTTATTTACACTTATAGCCGCGTATTATGTAAGAATGTTTCAGTCAACCATGATCTGCATACACAACAATGGTCCAATAAGATTGTAACAGATTATAAGCAAAATATTTCTTTGAAATGTTGAGAGAGAAGGCTGAACCCAACTACGATGTTGATGTTACTACTAGCTTTGGGTGGTTTAAATAGATGAGGAGGCTCAGCGTGCTGTCCACCTGCCCTGTGCCTATCCATGGCTTGGAGTGGGCAATGGAGCAAGGGGTGTGAACTGGGGGGTAGGGGTGCCCAGGAACAGACCTCCTGCCGACCCACGCCCACCCTTACACACACACATGCATGTGTACACACACTTTATCTTTTATATCTTATTTTTATTGTAGCTTTTTTATGTTTAGATGTTTAGATACACAAATATCATTGTGTTACAATTGCTTACAAGATTCATTACAATAGGACCAATAGGCTATACCATATAGCCTAGGTGTTTAGTAGACTGTACCATGTAGGTTTATGTAAGTGCACCATAATGTTCACAGCACAACAAAATCACCTACGATCGCATTTTGTAGAATGTATCTCTGACATTAAGTGATGCATGACTATAATAAAAATGTTCAGCAGCAAGGTGTGGCAGTAAAGATGCAGGTTTTAGTAAGATACTTACTAGCTGTGTGACCTTGGACAATAATGATGATGATGATGATGATGATGACAGCTGTGTAGAAAAGAGTTAACATAGCAGGCTACAACTGCTATCCTTAGAAAGGCCTACTTACAATATTGGCCACTGGCTGATATCTGGGAACTTAGATTTCAGGAGAGTTCCCACCATTCCCTAAATGTTAAGTGGCTCTCTCTGCCTACACTACTGTTTATATAAACAATATGTTTATGCTGAGCACCTGCTTTCTTCCTACGAGTCTGGAAGTTTGGTACATGCCAGACGGAGGGTGCCTACATGACAGGTCTGCAGTAAAAACCTGGGCACAAATCCAAGCTGGTGGCAGGCTGAGTAGAAACTACACTGACACTCTTCCAGGACCAAACTGGAATTACAACTAAAATAGAGAAAAACCATCCTGAATAATCAAATGAAGACTAGCTGAAGAGCACCCTCATAACCAAGGAGGAAAAGTGGAGACCACATAGAGACTGGTAGGAAGAATGGAGGTACAAGAGGGTTGGATACACAAACCCTCAGGTCCCACAGGTCCAGAAGATTATCTCAGCTGTGGGGGGTTCCCACTGAGAACTCTGGGGCCTAAACCCCAAGCTGGGCTTCTAAGCCCAGAGCACCAGAACTGAGAAAGGTACCCACATAACATCTGGCTGTGAAAAGCAGCAGGGTTTCTGTCTGTCAGGGAGAGATGGCTGGAAATGCAGGCACCCTCTTAAAGGACCTCACCTTCAGCTATGGCAGAGGGAGGGTGGAGTGGATTGGAGCAGGGTGAGAGGAATCTGGGGTTTCAGGCTCTGGAGACAGAGCTCAGAGGGTGGCTATCTGGATTCCTGTGCTGACTCATTCCCCCATACTGCAGAAGACATCCTTCTCAGGCAGACCTTTGCCAGCCAGGCAGCTTTTGCCTGGGGGGAAGGAATTGCCCCACCCTCTTGCTCTCACTTGTGGAGTCTACAGACTGAGGTTCATTAACAGATTAAGAGCAATCAGCCGGCAGGGAGAGGCAAACCTCTGGGAGCTTTGAATCTTTACCTGATCTGCTTCTGGACCCTTGCTTTGGAAAAGCAGACTTTGGTGTGCATCTTGGTCCTGTCCAAATGCACCCATCCCCAGCAGAGGGAACAACAAGCCAGCCCAGCAGACGGAACCACAAGCCATGGGTTGTCAATAACTCCAAACAGGTACTCAAGGCCAGTAACAAAGAGCATTTGACAGTGGCCTGCACCAGAGACCATACAAATGACTGGGAGACCAAGTAGATCTACCTAATACAAACAGGCAGCCAAAATGGGGAGACAAAAAACAAGCCCCACAGGAAAGAACACAAGAAGTCTCCAGATGAAATGGAGATAAGCAATCTATCAGATATAGATTTCAGTCTCTAAAAGAAATGGAGATAAGCAATCTATCAGATATAGAGTTCAGAATACTGAGTGTAAGGATGCTCAATAGCATGAGAAAAGATATAGAAACGATGAAAAATGATGAGTCAGAAATGAAGAATGACACTGCAGAAATAAAAAATACATTGGAAGGAATAAACAGCAGATTACAGGAAGCTGAAGATCAGATCAGCAAATTAGAAGACAAGGTAGAAAAAATCACTCAGGCAGGGATCCAAAATAGAAAAAACAATTAAAAAACAGGACAGTTTAAGGGATCTGTGGGACAACATGAAATGTAACAATATTCAAATTATAGGAGTACCAGAAGGGGGAAAGAATAAGCAAGGGATAGAGAATTTGTTTGAAGAAATAATAATGGCCGAAAACTTCCCTAACCTGGTCAAGGAAAAAGCCACAGAAGTTCAGGAGGCACAGAGAGTCCCAAGCAAGAAAAACCCAAAGAGACCCATGCCCAGGAACATCATAATTAAAATGCCAAAAATTCAAGGCAGAGAGAGAAACTTAAAGGCAGCAAGAGAAAAGCAATCTGTTATCTACAAAAGAGCTCCCATAAGGCTGTCGGCTGATTTCTCATCAGAAACTACAAGCCAAAAGGGAATGGCATGAGGTATTCAAGGTAGTGCAAACCAGGGTCTGAAACCAAGACTACTCTATCCAGCAAGGCTATCATTCAAAATAGTGAAATAAAGAGATACCCAGACCAAAAAAGGCTAAACGAGTTTATCTCCCCCAAACCAGCATTGCAAGAAATGTTAAAAGAACAGCTGTAATAATAAGAAGAAATATAGAGAGAAACCTAGGCATAAATAATTAAAATAGTGCCTGGCAGGGCGTGGCTCAGGGGTTGAGCATTGACATAGGATCCAGGAGATCGAGGTTCAATTCCTGGTGGGGGCACATACCTGGGTTACAGGCTTGACCCCTGTCTGGGGCATGTAGGGGGCAGTCGATCAATGACAACTCTTTCATCATTAATGTTTTTTTCTCTCTCTCTCCCTCTCCCTTCCCATCTCTGAAATCAATAAAGATATTTTTTTTAAAAAAAGAGTTAAAATGGCAATAAATAAGGACCTATCAATAATAACCTTAAGGACTTTAAGGGAGAGATCAACAGCAATACAGTCATACTAGGGAACTTTAACACTACACTGACTTCACTGGATAGATCTTCCAAACAAAAAGTCAACACAGAAACAGTAACTCTAAATGGCACACTAGATCAGATGGATTTAATTGATGTTTACAGAACATTTCACCCCAAAGCTACAGAATATACATCCCTCTCAAGTGTACATGGGTCATGTTCAAAGATAGACCACATGTTAGGACATAAAACAAGTTTCTACAAGTTCAAGAAGACTGGCATCATATCAAGCATCTTCTTGGATCATAGTGGCATAAAATTAGAAATCAACTAAAGCAAAAACACTCAAAAACATTCAAACACATGGAGGCTAAATAGCATGTTATGAAACAATCAATACCAAAGTGATCAAGAAAGAAATCAAAGACTTCCTGGAAACAAATGAAAATGAACACACAACAACCCAAAATCTATGGGACACAGCAAAGCATTCCTGAGAGGGAAGTTCATAGCAATACAGATCTACCTCAAAAAGCACGAAAAGTTTTTAATAAACTATCTAACTCTACAACTTAAAGAATTAGAAAGCTCCCCCTGTGAAGCCATCCAGACCAGGGCTTTTGTTTACTGAGAGGGTTTTTTTATTACTGCTTCAATTTCATCAGTTGTTATTAGCCTAGTCAGGCTTTCTGATTCTTCCTGATTCAGTTTTACATGATCTCATATGTGGAATCTAATAAACAAAATAGACTGAGGAACAAAATAGATCCAGAGACATAGAAGCATGGAACAGGCTGATGAATCTCAGAGGGAAGGGGTGTGGGGGGGGTAAAGATTAATCAAAGAACTTATGTGCATATGTGTATAACCCATGGAC